TATCTCCACAGAATGTGGGTGTGTGGTCACTCTTAGCTTCATTTCTCCCCATAGACCTTACTGGCATGGGTGTCCCTACCAGGAGCTTGTGCTCCAGCCTGCATTGCCCTATGGTTCAGTAAAATTACTGGGCTCTCCCACCACGACCAGGTGGTGACCACGGGAGAGTTATTATTATTATTATTATTATCATCATAAACCCGTCTCGATTATATATTAGATGAGCTTTGGCTAGGCTAGGTATGCCCACGGTTTGTGGCCTTGCCTAGGTCATATTGAATTCAAATGATTAATCAATGTAAAAAAGTGTTCTCAAATTGACATTAACTAATCTGAAAACTAATTAAAATCAGAATATGATACTGAAATATTCCAATTGTAGGTGTGTTTTGCATGTCAGGTAGAGAATAGTAGTTCATGACAATGCTGCTAGATCATATTGTCTTATGAAAATATATCATCTTACATTGTATAAGACAATGTAGTCTAGCCTACAATTATGCCGCATGTCACATAAGACGCTATACAATGATTTCAAGAATATGGCTGGGAAGGGCTAGAACATTTATATAAGCCATCTTTCTAGTGCTTATTAGCTGTCTGCTCCTTTAGTGTGATTTGGCAAGTTCACACTTCCATACATGATGAGTTGGAATAAGTTGTCATCTGCATGGCTCAAACGTGACTCAAACTATTTTTGTTACAGAGTACATATACCTTGCCGTTGCATTAGGCCCAATGCTTAAGGGTTGCAGTTTTTTGTTTATTAATGACATTCCTTGCTACCCATTATCATATACTAATTTGAAAGTAAAACTTTTATAAATGATGGGTCATTATCTTATTTTTTTCAATAAACTGAATAGAATAGCTCTGAAGATATAAAATGCACCATTTAATATCCCAAAAGTAACCTAATATAACATTGCATAAAACAATGAAATACTTAGGGTCATTCAGTTACTAGACCTGGACTTTGAAAATAGACAAAAGTAACATAAACAGATTGGTTTGCACTAACAGTTAAAGTAAAAATAAAATTCCAAAATAATTGACTATGCATTGGTAAAACAGATTTATTGAAAATATTACAAGCAAACAAACTATGTACAGGAGATTAATAAAAAAAACCATGAAAATACATTATCAAAATATTTCAAAGTTATAAAAGATTTGAACTATGATTAATCCAAATTGAGAACAAAACCAAAACAAATGTTCAAAAACATTCCTGACAATTGGAGAACTTAGATTTAACTTAACAATTAATTCTCCAAAAACTAACGAAGTAACTCAGAATAGATTGTAAGAATTTTTGCATTGTTTATTAGTAATCTAAACTACCTAATCGTCTCACCAAAAATGCCAGACAATCTTTTTCATAAATCAAACTTTCTCTTGAACTCTTCTCACTTGTTCTCAGAAGCTTCATTTCATTATCTTCATTGTCTCCAATTGCACGATGTCACAATTGACTATGCCACTCCGACTCATTTACAAAAGTATAAACTAAATTTATTTTTTCCTTTGCAACCTTTCAGTTATAATTGTCTTTCTAATCTTTCTAAAAACGAAGTTCTCTGATTTTTAAAATCAGTAATAAAGGGATTAAGAGAGAATTCTTTAACTCCATTCGGAGATTGCTTAATCTAAGATGCCATTGAAAGATTGGCAATATTGGCATCGAGTGTCAATGTTCACAGAAAGGTTTTTCATTAGTTTAGAATTTAGTCTGGAAAGGTGTGGAGTTTTGCCCTTTTAACAAAATAAAACATTCAAAATAAATAACTAAAAAGCCCCAAAAATAAAATAACATTCAGACTCAACTCCTTACAGATAATTCAATACTAAATATTTCAAATGATTTTATTTTTATATGCAAATTTATATCTTGATAATTTTTTAGATTTAAAACTAATCAAATTACTCCATTTAAAAATAATTCACGATCATTAATTTTTATCGAATACATTGTTTTATCCAGGGAGATCTCGTCGTCGCCGGTGTCTTATCCGGAAACAGGAATTTCGAAGGACGTATCCATCCCAACACGAGAGCAAATTATTTGGCTTCACCTCTTTTGGTGGTGGCGTACGCAATTGCAGGAACAGTGGCCATAGACTTTGAAAAAGAACCTCTAGGTAATAATCTTTTTTTAAAATTTATATTAAATGTTTGATTTATATTAAAATTTTAGTTTAATATCTGATAGGCAAGGACCAGACTGGAAAGAATGTGTATCTTAAAGATATCTGGCCATCTAGAAATGAACTTCAGGTAAGTTTTCATTTAAACTGGTTTCATTATGTTGTATATCTTTAGTGATTTTACAGAATTCTTTAACAGAAAACTCACTAAAAATTCAGGAATATTCTAATGGGATTTCATGTAATAATAAAAATAATTTTGGATGTTGCAGAATAACAAATATCTCAATTCTTATATCAAAAATACAATTATGTACAACATATCTACCTGTTATTTCATTTGAAAAAAATTTATTTGGGAATTTAATAATTTTTCATCGTTTATTAAATTGAAAATTTAATTATGAGAAATTGAAAAAATTTAAATGTAGATGATACTACGCAACACAATACATCAAATCTATTTCTGAAGTTGTTAATAATTTAATAAATGTTTTTATATAATGTTTCAATTCTATCATTACTTTAAATTTATATATATATATTTGTTGCCTACTATAGGTGTATCTCACTTTAAGGGGCTTTGCTAATACAGTGAACTCCTGTATAACACTTTTTTTGCCTCTTTGCCCTTACTATTTTTCTTTTTTGTGTATATATATGTATTGTCTATTTGGACCTTGTTTATTAATAGGACTTATAATACTAGTGAAGTTTCTGATTAGCAAAGAGAGGAGATCTTACTTGTTAGTCAAAAAACAAAATAATGTGAAAATAATGACAAAATAGCAGGTGAAAATAAAGATGTTTTGTTTTTGACTAAAATTGCTTTAAATTTCATCTCTTTGCTAATCAGGAACTTCACCAGTATTATAACATGCTCTCCTATAACACAAATTTGTATAATGTGACGAAAAAATTGCGACTAGTACTTGTACGGAATTTGAGTTTTGTCCTCCATAGGTATAAGTTTTCAACTTCTAAGCCTAGGTTTAAATTCATGTAAAATTGTTTGATAACGCATGTGTCTAACATGATTTCCTATAATGTGGAATGTATCCATGTAAAGTACTAAGTTATTTTTTATGTTTTTTATAATGATTATCGACACAAACTGTGTGCCGGGAATAGCTGTTACCTAACGGGTACTTTATGCGGATTTGCAATTAATGTGCCAGGCCTGGACTTTAAGTGTGCACCAAAAGAAATAATGACAAAGTTAGTAAAAAAAAACAGTCCAATATTTAATAATAATTTTAATAATGACCGTACAGAATTAGTAACAATCAAACAACAATTTATTCGAAAGAAAATCAACAATAATAATTAACCCGACAAAACTCAAATCAATCTACTTGCTAGCTTAAATCTATTCCCCTTTGAAACGCGACAAAAAAATTCAAAGACTTATCCTATGTACAACAAGTCTTAAGAACTAAGGTCCTAACCGTCACCTCAATATACTAGGAACCTTTTTCCTCAACTCTCAAGACTTTCTCTAATCTTCGATCCACAAATCGAATAACTTCTAATTGCCTTGGAACAACTTTATCGCTATAAGACACCTCTCTCATTCACTGCTACGAAGCTCACCACGCTTATTGCTAACAGAAGCTCACCTCGGTCATCTTCGCATGAGGTACAGGCTTTATGCTATGAGGTGACGTCACAATTCTGATTGAGACCACTCCCCTCATTTACATACTTATCTCTAACATTGAACTTTTCCTTTTTGCCTGGCAACCTATTTTCCGACAATACTCGCTAACCTTTTACATTATTCTTTTTGACAATTTTCGGGATGTTTTATTCTTTAAGGTTTAGCAAGTTCTTGAGTTGTGCTTGCGGGGTCTCCCCCTCTTCTCAGTGCGGACTTACTTTTTTCCATTCGGGAGCGCAAATGTTCGCAAACTATTTTCTATGGCACCCCTTCTCGTTGGTGAGTTGGTTCTCTCTCTTTCTTCTGTTCTTAAGTTTCTAAGGTGAGTGGTGAAACCTTCATCCTAACAAAACATAAGCCCCAAACAAAAATAACATAAAAAGCAAAATAAAAGTAACTAAAATAATGCTCGGACTTGGTTCCTTGCACCTGTGTTTTACAAGACTCCACTATACAGTACTTTTCAATTATATTCAGATTTATTATTTTTGATCTGTGCTCCTAATGTAGTTTTCAGGACTTTTTTAATTATTTTCACTTTTTTATTATTAAGTGTGCAGTAGTGCTAGATATATTTATATCTAGCACTATTGTGCATTTAAAAGATGACAGTGTAAATATATTTTTTGGCTTTTATATGCACTGGCAAGCAAAACAAAGGCTGTGATTTGCTTTAGGATGATAGGTTCTAGACCACTGCAGTAAAGAAAATATCAGCTATATTAGCAAAGTATGCCTGTATATTTAAAAATGGACAAACATTGTCTCTTCTGATGCGGTATGAATGACAGTTTAATGATAGCTAGCGATTGTTGTCTGAAAAATTAAGTATTGTGAGTTGTTGAATCTTGGAATAGTATATTAGTGTAGCAAGATTGCCAATGATAACAGGAATAATCTTATTATTTAGAAATTTAATTGAAACTTGTCAGCATTGTTAGGATAATTGGACAGTTATTCTATTAAAAAAAATAGAGTATAAACTTACTTTTCTGATGTTGTAAAGAGATTCACACATGCCTTGGCTAACATTCACTATTGTTGAAATGAAATACTAAACAAATCAGTGCAAAACGAAGTCATTATAACATTCGTGTATATTAAATAGATCAAAATGTAAATAAGAATAAAACAAAATCTTAATTTTTTTAAAAGCCTTTACTTTATTTATTGTAGTTAGAGATAAATGGCTTATAGAGGCTTATGTTTTTGCATTTGATCATCCATACAAATACTGAGCCTTCTTTCCGTTTTTTTGAACAAATGGCTGCTTGAATGAGTTATTTTTGTCACTAAAAATTTGATGTCGTGATGCTGAAGCTTTTCATAACCATATTTTTTAGAATTGTTCTTATCGTGGACATTACATAGATGCTTCTTTCAATTTGGCAGACGACATGTAGTGGCTTTCAATCAACATAATTAGTGTAGTTTTGCAGCCAGAGAAATGCTTTCACTTTGCATTTTGAGCATCTCTTGCACACTTTCTTTCTAGCATAATAGGTAGACTGATGAAAAATACATAATAAAATGTGCACAAAAAGCTAATAAAATACAGACTCAAAATAAATTACTGCGACCGAACATGTCAAATGAGTGGCGTGGCATGCAAGTTGACGTAGTGCAATAGTGAAACACTGCAGAGAAGGGTTTCTTTAAGCAAGATATAAGTGTATGACTTAAGATTAAAATGTTCCTTGTTTTGAGAACAACATTTACAAAATATAAATAAAATTATTGAAAAATCCAAAATACAATCCTTTATTGCTTTTTGAATTCGTGGCACTGGTCTTAGAGATAGATGCTTAACATGTAAAACACTGAGTGACTACTTTGAAGGTTACTTCGGGGGTCGGTAAATACTCTTAAGTCAGCAGTTGTAGGTTTCTTCGGAATACTTCAAACTATTTCTCGAAAGCTTTTTGCAATCACCGTAATGAAAATCGTATAGCAATCACGATAAGTTTCTTTAGAACTCTAGAAGATAATGTGATCAATGACAAAGTGAAAATTTGTGCTAGCCTATAAAACAACTTCCTAAGCAGATACTTAGCAGTTTGGTACAGAAGTTGCAGACACATTGTTATGCACTTCTCTTATTAAGGAACTGCAGTATATTGTGATCTAGATTTCTAACTGTTACAGTGCAGTCAGTGCATAGTGTATATAAGATTATATAAATACAAAGTGGCAGTCTCTTAAGTAAATTTGTCAGAAATTATAATAATATAAGTGTTACAGTTAGCTTTGTTTTCCTCCCTTCCTCTAAATCTTTGTACCAGCCCCCATGTACTGTACCTGATAATATAAAATTTTTAATATAATATAAAGTTTATCTTAAAACTAGCCATTTATGTTTAAAAAATTGTTTCAGGAAATAGAACGCAAATTTGTGATTCCAGGAATGTTTAAAGAAGTATACTCTAAAATACAAGTAAGTTATTTCGAGATCATTTTGAATTTTCTATTTGATCCATAATTAAGGATACATTTATTGAGAACAACTTTATAGAATACATAGACCACATAATGCACTGCATGTTAAACTTTGACGGAATCGAGCTTTCCACTCGATTCCGCCACGAGGACATCAAACCGAAAGTTAAGCTCGAAGTCAATATGCCAAAAACAATTCTCAAATTGGTTCTTTTGATTATAAAGGAACCCAATCGGAACGAAAGGTGCATTGAGTTTGAGCGAGAGTTGAAACTCTAATATTATTACCATAATACTTGGTGCATAATTGATAATTTTAGATTTTATTTACATAATTTTTTTGACCATTAAGATCTCATTTGTTGTAATGGAAATTTTTGATGCTTTGTTAGCAAGGAAATCAGTGTTGGAATCGCCTGGAAGCTCCAGACAGTTTGCTCTTTCCTTGGGATAGCAAATCTACTTACATTAAACTACCACCATTTTTCGAGGGCATGGTAAGACCCGGAATAACAATGTTCTTATTTCTTAGTACGAGTTTACTTGTATTTTACAAGTGATCTCGTACATAATTAACATAATTTAAAATTATTCATAATTTCAGACAAGAGAGCTTCCGTCTGTAGAAAATATTATAAATGCTAGAGTTCTAATAAATCTTGGAGATTCCGTCACCACCGACCACATATCTCCGGCAGGCAGCATAGCACGTAACAGTCCGGCTGCTAGATATTTGGCAAACCGTGGGTGAGTACAGTTACGTTGTCACAAAATGATTCGGAGGGGTGTTCAAAAAGTCTCCATACAGTGGCACAAATCAAGCCCACCGGTGGTCGAATAAATAACAATAACCAAATAAAAACCATCAAACGCTGGTAGTTGGTCATTGGTTTGTGCCTGACCAATGCGCCAGCCACCATGCAACATTCCGGTTTTTTTTTTCATGTGTCTAACACCTAAATAGAATCTGGTTTCCACTTGGAAAGTCCTGCTAGAAGTTATCCATTGGCAGATCACCCGTGTGTCCGTTATTCCGTCAATCCACCGACACAAATCTTAATGCTGACATTTTAATCTTTTGTGAATAAAGTTACATTTCACCTATGTATGTATGGAAACTTTTGGGACACCCTGTATAACGGTTTGAAGATGTTACTTACAAACATTAGCAAACTGTGGCACTCTTACCAGATTATCAATTGGCTATAAATTAGTAATTAAAGCAACTTCTCATACGGTAACATACTTTTCCGACCCGCATTCACTAACGAAACCTTTTAATTGTGGGTCCGGTCAATCCCGAAATGAGAGTGGCCGGACGGCAAGGAACTTAATCAAAAATTTGAGCAAATCTGGATCTTCGGGAATGGCAGGCCAGTGCCCGTATGGCTTTTAGCCCTTGTTGCAAATTTTAATGCGAAATCAAACTGTTAATTTGTAACCAATTATCGGCTTGCCCATATTCGATGGCAAAGAAATTTTAAACTGCATAATCCATTTATAAGGGCGGATCAATAAATAACAAGCAGGGATAGGAATAGGCCATGTTGCTTTGGCTGCTTATTTATCGATCCACTCTTATAGTACTGGTGGGTGAGAAAATGGCTTTGCCATCGAACGTGGTTTTAGTAAAATTCGGCCAGTCGTTAACATTAATCGAGATTTTTGTTACACTTTTCTCTAGTTTGACACCCCGCGAATTCAACTCTTACGGTGCCAGACGAGGTAACGACGAGGTGATGCGCCGCGGAACATTTGCCAACATTCGCCTGTTGAATAAATTCATCGGCAAAGCGGGACCTCGTACAATTCACATTCCATCCGGAGAAGAGGTAAGAGCCATGCCCAAACTGAAAGTAACGATTTGTGGCAGAATTTTTATCTCGATCTTTTGGAATTTTCAGATGGACATATTCGAAGCGGCAGAAAGATACAAACTAGAAAATATCCCACTGATCATCCTAACGGGAAAGGAATACGGTTCGGGATCTTCACGCGATTGGGCTGCAAAGGGACCATATTTACTGGTGAGTGTTTGGGACGTCTTTTTGTTTGCAATTGTGATTTCAATACAGAACCTAATTTGGGCGTGCAAATTAAGTTCTGTATTACCTCGCGAAATCGAGGAGCCATAAAGACGACTTGCACCTTTCAAATTTGTAAAATTGGGGACAGTAATTCGGGTAAAGTTTCTCACGAAAATGTATGAAAGTTTCCACGTGCTTAACGTTAATAAATCATCCGCGGATCTACGGCATATTGAAATACTGTATTTTCTAGGGTATCAAAGCCATTATCGCGGAGAGTTACGAGAGGATTCACCGCAGCAACCTGATAGGGATGGGTATCGTGCCCCTGCAGTACCTTCCCGGCCAGAACGCCGAATCCCTGGGCCTGACGGGAAAAGAAGAATACAGCGTGGCCCTCCCCGCCGACATGGCGCCCGGACAGACCACCACCGTGACGGTAAGATCCCGCTACCCCTCGCTCTAGTTCCCTCACCCTTCCCCATTTCTCTATCCTCCTTCAATGCGAAATCGTTACAGGTGGACGGCTCCAAGAAATTCTCCGTTCTGGTTCGGTTCGACACGGAAGTGGAGCTGGCCTACTTCCGCCACGGAGGTATCCTTCAGTACATGGTTCGTCACATGATCGACTAGAAGAATCCCCGCCGCTCCTCGGGCGACCGGACCCTTTTCTTTCTTTCTTTTTTGTAATCTGCCCGAAATTTTGTATAAAACCGGAAATACTTGCCACGTTGGTGCGCGAACTTTAGGGAACAACAACAACGCCGACGATTTTTTTTCTATGGGAATCTTCGGTCTCCGTCCCCTCGCCACGCTAAATCGAGGGGTCGTTACTCGAGTCACACACTTCCTTGTAAATTATGGATACCACGTCGATGTCTATGCGAGAGAAGAGGACCGAAAACAATTTTTTTATCACTCCGTATATATTATATATATATATATATTAAGATGTATACCTACGAGATATTTACATGTTACTTCCCCAGAATATGCTTATATTTGAGGATAAAACAGTTTAGTACGAGATTATGTCGCTGGTGTCTTTTCTTTTCCCCGCTCTTCGTGGTTAAAGAATTCGGGAAAATGGCTGGCTCGTAATCGAAAGGGTCCAAGGGCCAAAAATCAAATTCGCCGTTAAGAAATGGTCTTACAAGCCAAGCCTGGCCATCTTCCTTCGGAGATTTGCCTGGTCGCGCGTGAACGATCCTCCAGGGACACTCTAGATTGCGGCTCCTAATTCCTCCCGGCTCGAAGATTCTCTCTCGATTTCCTACGGAAACTGAATTTTTTGGCACTTAGACCCTGTTCACTCGCGGGAGGGTCGTCGAGGCACGGGCCAAATCGAATGTCGGAATCAATGCGTAAATCCCCGAGTGGTGTCCCTCCCGATCTGCGAAAGTCCATTGGGTAGGAACCTAATGGCGCTTCGGAGACTCCTCGCTAAATTGCCAATTTGTGGCAATTCTCCGAAGGGTCCGAACCCAATCTTACTTATTTGATGGAGGGATGCCAATTTGTAGGGATCGAACAGCCTCTTGGAGATGCCCGAAAGATCGATCGTCGCCAACAAAATAGCTGTTGCTTAGTGTACGTGTTACGTAAAGTGTTACGCTCGGTTATTTAAGTAACTCGAATCTAGTGGATAAGGTGGAGGATGGGCGTCTTCCCGAAGACTAGATTATTGTTACGGCCGTCCTCTGTCGTAACGACAACCGACCGTCCGCGTAACTTTTACTCGAAAGTGGATTTATTCGAAATTTTAAAATTGCCGAGTAATTCGTTACGTCTTCAATGATCTCAACGGTGAGAGTGCGCAAGAAATCGTAACGCCGTTTCGTTACGGCTCCCGGTAGATCTTTAATAATTATCGCCTTTACGGTGACGTGAATAGCGTAATTATGTCGTAATTTCCGTCTCGCCCACATTCCGTTCTTCCGAATATCGAGTGCCCCATTCCGCGTGGCGTTACCACCCGTAACGGAACCTGTCGCGACATTCGAACGAAAAACATCTTACGTAACGTAGAGTGGCGTAACCAAATTTACGAAATTGTTTTCACTGGAACGGCGTATTAATAACTCGTGACTCAACGCGTTAGCCATTCTGATTCAGCCGCCCGCAACGCGTAACGAGGGGGGAAAGCATCCGGCACGTCCGGAACGTTTCCATTTGTGGTGGGTTTACTTTTCGCGGGAGCGACTCGTCGCGTGTCGAAAGCACTTTTTATTGTTTTCTATTGTATGACGTTGGGTTCTCGTCGATAATCGTACCCACGCGATAGTTTCTCGAGAGGAAACGTTGGATGCGTCCACGGGCAGCTAACCAATGGCGTGATGCGTTTCGTACGAGACGAATTCCCATTGGCGAAACGAGCCCTCGGTTCCGACGGTGCGGAAATGACATCACAATCGAGTGGTTTTGGTAGAAATGCTTAAATTCTGACATTTTTAGTCGGAAAAAGTGCGTAACAAATCCAACATTTATAAATTCGAGCGTAAAGATTAAATAGTCTTTATAAAGGGCCCTGTACGTAAGTTACGGGCCCCTTTATAAAGACCAACCTCGGTTATGCGTTTTCGAAGGGAGTAAGAACAGCTAGAAGTCTGTGTTAGTTACACAAATTAAACTTACGAGTGGAAGCTGACATGAGAAGCTTAAGCGGGCCCGTGAAAGCGTATAATCTAAGTTTATGGTATTATTTTGTGTCTAAGATAAACTGCAAAGTTCTCGCCTTAAAAATACTCTGGTGTTAACCTCGACCAGTGCATTCCGAAAGCGAGAGGTCTTGGACTAGTGGGCCTGCTAGTGACGGTATGCGTAAAACTATCGAATACCGCTAGTTAGAGTCGCCGGTTGCCCCTCATAAAGAGGCTGGCCACGTGAAGTTTTCGGTGTTTTTGCCCGTCTGACACCTAATTAGGGACTAGTTTTCCGTTAGAAAGTCCTCCGGGAGGCATTCCCCCAGGCACATCGCCCGCGTGTCTCGTTGCATTATTCTAGTGGAAGGTGCCACTGGAACGGTGGAACCACCCCCAACTTAACATCTTAAAGGTAAATAATAGTAAAATGAAATATTTGTTGAATACTTACCAGTTCCGAGTGCACCAGGATTATTCCACGAAACCAAGAGTGCCACGACCATACCCAACGGATGAGCTTCTTGTGATGGGTACATCGCTCTACCGTCAGTTTTACTTTCCCGGCTGTTACGTATACACAACAAAGGAAAGTATTGTAATCGAGTCAGATTTGATCCTCCGAGTGTTTTTTTGCAAATCTCCGCGTTCCGAGACCATCCGAACCCAAAAAAGTAATAAAAAAAAAGCCAGCAATAATAATCTGTGCGTGTTGTCGTCTATTTCACTTAATACCTCAGGATGGGGTGAAGATTAGAAAACGAAATTTGGCACGGTGGCTTGTATATAAGGGGCATTGATGCTATTAAATTTTGGCGGTGAAAGGTCTAGAGGGAGGTCGCGTATCTGCAGAGGGGCAGGACTTAATAACGAACCACACAATTTTACTTTTTATATTATTAAAAAAACTTATTTTAACAACCGGGAAAGTGACGCAACTCTCTTGCTGCTAGATTTTTTTTTTATGTAAATAGTTCTTATTGACTGAAGTGTGATTATACGGACTGCAAGACGCCACCGGTGGCAGAGTCGATATAAAGACCGTACACTTACGGTCGGTGGTGGGTTCGTGCCCTGCCACGTGGAGTTTTCCGGGGTTTTTTTCACGGGATAACACCAAAATAGGGAGTGGGTTTCCCCCTAAAAATTTCCCTCGGAAGATCGGTCGCGTGACGTAAAGCTAAGATTACGAAGTGTTACTTAATATTAAGTAGTAGCACCGCAAAGACAACATATTAAAGAAGAATCAAAGTTTCTTTTCTTCGCGAAAGTTCTTCCGAATCTGCCAGAAGCATTTGACTGGGCAAAAAAACGAGTTGATTAACTTTCCCGGCAACATTTAAAACAGCGTTTGTGGCGTCATCTGTTACGATATTTTATTATTAAAATCTTTTTATATTTTTAATTATTATAAAACGGCCCAAAAAAACTTAATTTTGATGGTAGGGACGAGTTTATTAAAAAATTGCCGCATAACTTTGTCAACGAGTGTATTTAACGAGAGGGGTCTTGTCGGCCCTGTGCGAAAAAGGCCTTTTTTAGTGCCTACGGAAGGAGAGGGGGAAAGTATCTTTCGAAATAGTGTTCCTTCGACAAGTTCTCCGGTTAGAACTAAATAATGCCAGGGAAACGCGTGATGGCCACATCAATGTATTGTCTGGTATCTATTAATCGTCGACGGTGGTGCGTAAGCGTTATAACTTCGCGGGCTCCCGGGCGAATTTCAATTAGGGGGCCCGTGTACGGTGTCGACAGACATTTTGGGAGAATATTTTCTTATAAAAAATTGCTTTGGGGTTCCGGCAATTTCCCTTTTTGCCCGTTAAATAACGCGCCACTGATCGTGAACTACTAAATCAAACTTCACCAGTTTTCTATAGAAAGCCCGGGAGGCATCTACCCTTGTCAGATCTGCTAAGGATGGATGCCTCCCGAGAGCACTTAACGCAACGCGTGTCGCGTTACGTCCCCCCATCGACTGGAAAACAAAACCCAACATCGGAATTCGAACCCGGGTCTTCGGTGCTGTAGAAAATTCTCTCTACAACCGGAAGTGTCAACGTTCTTCGAATAAAATCGAGAGATTTTGCCAACATCTTCCATAAAGGAGGCACAATTTTTCTCTTTGGTCGAATTAGTCCAAATTCGACCAATCTTCGGACAATAGAGAGATTGAGGCGCACGTTTTAAACGTGTAAACGTGTGTGTGTGACGTTCGGCGCCGCTTTCCCGTAAGCCTAAAAGTTTGACGATGGTGTTTGGAATGTCGAGCATGATTCCACCGACTATCCAAACACCATTGTCAAACTTTTAGACTTACGGGAAAGCGGCGCCGAACGTCACACGTACACGTTTACACGTTTAAAACGTGCGCCTCAACCTCTCTAATAACAGAGGCGTTACAATCGGGTTACGAATTTTTGTAGGGGCCTTTGGCTTTCGGATCCTTGTCTAGTAGCCTATATAATATACACGGATGTGGGAGCCCCGACCCCTCTAGCATCATTACAATAAAGTAAATCCTAAATTCCTTCACGAACCCATTTGAAATCTTCCTAATAGTGTTCTCGAAACTCCTGGCACGTGGAGCCATTTAATTCTCGCCACCCTATTGACGACAGGTTTGCCTGCACAGTATGTGAAATTAGAAGTTATAGAATTTTACCGAATTATATTTTACAGTTCTATAAGAATTTAATGAAATTATTCGTTTGTATGTCTGTTCCCGGCAACCTTCCGTACATTCGATTATAAAGAATAAAATGAAAAATATTCATATTAAAAGCGCTTTTTCATTTTATTCCCGTCCCTCCAGTGTATATATATCTACTGGAAGGACGTTGTAGTTCCCCTCGTGATTTGTACTGGCGAGAATCTGATACGTCATACCTTTTTCTATATCTGTTACGTATGCATTAAATATTGTGTAAACGTTATATGGAATTTCTTAATTTAAATTAACCACAATTAGAATTTATTAATCGGAACGATCTTAATAAGCGAGTTCTCGTTACATAAGCGGATCTCCATTTAACATCGCTAGGCGGAATGTCGTCTTGTGTGATGTCATACGCGTCATTGATCCGTCGTCTTTGTGGAATTCTTCGCCTCGATCCTCGACCAGAGCGACTCTAAGCGAGTTCTACTGTATTGTTCTTTATTGTTTTTATCGGAAATATACTGTGTTACGTATGCATTCCGCTCGCGTTTAAAATATTCGAATCAATCGAGCGTTACACCGGGGGATGCCAGAACTCCCCGTGCTCGTATACGATATTTTGATTCGTATCTCGGGAACTTAATTAAATTTCTGTAAATCGCTTAACAAGAGAAGAGTGTAGAGGATCGATTTGATGTTAAACTATTGGTAAAACGTGTTTATTCATTGAATTA